GACGAGGAAGAAGAAGTAGAAAATAACCCGAATGACCCCGAACAGCTGGATGACGCAAACGAACTGAACGGCCACCACCCACGCAGCGTGCAGGGCGACCAAGGCAAAAGGGAAAAGGCCAAGAGGAGACAAAAACCGCTGTGCGAAGAAGATGACTTGAACAAGGAGTATTCCAAAGGTGAAAGCAGCAAACATAGCCTATCGGTAAACGGAAGGAGTGCAAAGAACGCCATGGTGTGCACCACCAAGATGATGAGAAAAAAAATGAACGATAAAAGAATGAACGGGAAAAAAATGCATTTGAAGAAGAAGGAACCCAAACCGATGGCAATATTCTGCTGCGAAACGCAGAACCATAAGCTGTCCGACATCATTGATAGAGAACTTATAAGAAGATCGAAGATAGCATTGCTGAATTGTACCCCTGTGAATATAAATATGCCTATAAAGAATACGGACCGAGCAGTAGGAGCCATGTTAAGTTATCATATCATTCAGAAATATGGGGAACCAGGGTTACCAATGGATACTATAAAAGTGAAATTTAGAGGAACAGGAGGATTATCCTTTGGAGTATTCCTGACAAGCGGTGTGAACTTTGAGCTCGAAGGAGATGCAAACGATTTTGTGGGAAAGGGTCTATCCGGTGGAATTATATCAGTGCATTTCCCCAGAACGTCGTTATTCATAAATGAGTGTCAGAAAAACATGATTGCAGGGAACTCCGTTCTGTATGGTGCAACAAAAGGAAGAGCTTTCTTCGCAGGAAGAGCTGGGGAAAGATTTGCAGTTCGTAATTCTGGGGCCATAGCCGTTGTCGAAGGAGTCGGATGTCACGGGTGTGAATACATGACGAAAGGCATAGTAGTTGTATTGGGTGAAATTGGCTGTAACTTCGCTGCAGGCATGAGTGGAGGAATTGCATACGTCCTGGACATTAACAAAAAAAACGTAAATCACCAAATGGTAGATCTGAAGGTATGCAAAACGATGGATGAAAAAATGACGTTAGAAAAATTACTGCATGAGCATTATGAAAGGACCAATTCGTATACGGCCAAAGTTCTGCTTCAAAATTTTGATGAAAATCTGCAGAGGTTTACCAAGATTATTCCTAGAGATATCAAACGAGTGCTAACCGAAGCGTGCATCGAATTTGTAAAGACAGGGAATGAAGAGGCCGCAGCAATTCTGGACGACTGGGCTTCTCTGCTGAAGAATGTCGATCAGCCAGAAAACATGTATAAGAAGGCCATGCAATTTTTTACCACCATCTCGGATGACATATCTGGATTGCCAAAAACGCTAGCATTGAGAAATGTAGATGGACTCATCATATATGACATTTTGCAAGACAATCATAGTAGGAAATTATTAACCGTAAAGAATTACACACCGCAATTGAATTCCACCCAAGGAAGTGAGCAACTGCAAGGACAGGTCAAGAAGAAGAAGATATTTGACTTCGAAGGATTCATTCACAATTTAGAAATTTGCAGAAAAAATAACCGAAAGTGGCGAAGGTTGGCGGAAATCCCATTTAAGTGTAACGCCTTTAATGATTTTAAAAATATTTTCCCAAAAAGGCTCGATGAAAAGTCAAAGGAAATGATAAAAAAGTATATTCTGAATGAGAAGTACCTCCTCGATCTTCACCTCAAGTCCTTAAATTCGAACTCTTTTATTGACAGTCTGATTGATAGGGAGGAGGGGGACGACTACATGAATGTGAGCCAGAAACAGATCAGCCCCAATGTGTATACCTTGAAAAGTTTCCTCTACGCGAATGGGAAAGGGGAGGGAAGTGTCAAGGATAACCATCATGCTGTGAGATCTCCCGACTTGGGGGTATTTAGGGGCACTTCTACCGCTTCGGCGCGCAGCTTCACCGGGGCGTCTGTCTCGTCCGTGGAGCCCTCCGAGGGCAAACCGGGCTCCACCAGCACACCGGTCATCGCCCCACTCAATGGGTCTATCCATGGGCTTGGTTCTCGCCCGACCGGAGACACTATGACCACCGCATGTGCCACCCCATGCACCACCACATGCGCCACCGCCACTTCCTCTCCGTCGAAGGATACGCGCCCCCCAGTAACAAAATTGAACATCACGAACAAACAAGGAAGTTACGAGGGGAAAGCCACCGAGTCTGTTATCCCGAGCATCAGCCAAGCCAAGCCCTTTCTCGCGGTAAACCCGAATAAAGTCACCGGCTTTAAGGAGTACGAACGGTTATCCCACCCGCTAAAAGACATTAGCAGTAGAGTCTTGGACTACTCAGAGATCATCGTGCCAATCAATGCAAAGAGTAAACTGCATAACCAGTTGCTAAAAACACAGGCGTCCAGATGTATCGACTGTGGAACCCCTACTTGCCATTATCCAAATTCCAGCGGAGGAGGGTGCCCTCTTGGGAACAGAATATTTGATTGGAACAATTTAATATACGAAAATGAGTGGAAAAAAGCACTGGAAAGATTATTAGATACAAATAATTTCCCAGAAATTACTGGGCGCGTCTGTCCAGCCCCTTGTGAAGATGCTTGCGTTTTAAGCATTAACGAAAAACCAGTGTCGATAAAATTTATCGAGTTATCCATCATTGAATTTGGATTTTTAAAAAAGTGGATTCAGCCTATCATTCCGCATACCAGGACGGGGAAAAAAGTCGCCATCGTAGGTTCAGGCCCCGCAGGATTAACAGCAGCTCAACAGTTGAATAAGGCAGGACATGAAGTAACCATCTTCGAGAAGGACGAATATTTTGGAGGATTACTAATGAACGGAATACCAAGTGTGCGACTGGATAAAAAAATAGTAGAGAGGAGGTTAGCCATAATGAGGAAGGAAGGAATCATTATGAGAAACAACATCAACGTAGGGACGGACATAACCTTATCCGAGCTAGCCAAAAATTTCGACGCTGTTTTGTTATCTACTGGGTATAAAGTCCCAAGGAAGTTGGACATTCCAGGATCGAACTTAAACAATATTTATTTTGCCATGGATTTCCTGACCACATGCCAGAAGTCGCTCCTTAAATCGGACCTCACCGATGACAACTACATAGACGTATCAGAAAGGCATGTAATTATTTTAGGAGGAGGGAAGACTGCTGTAGATTGCATAAGTTTGGCAATTCGAATGGGAGCAGCTAGCGTTTTGCAATTCACCAGGCAAGACCTTCCACCCGTGACAAGCACTGAATATTCCTGGCCAGGAGTGAAAAATATATTCAAGGTTGATTACTCACATGATGAAGCCATAATTATCCAAGGGAGGGACCCACGGGAGTTCTGTGTTAGGAGTTTAGAGTTTATACCCTCCAGTAAGGACCCCAAGAGAGTGTCTGGCATTAGGGCCATTAAAGTCAAATTAAGGAAAGTCCCAAATGGGGGAGGGGAGGTGGATAAGCAAACGCTGCTGCGGACGCCCTCCACCAAATCGACAAAATGGGCGAAGTCCATTGCTGTCACAGATGTCACGGCTGTCACCGCTTCCACATCAAACACCACCGCCAATATGCCCTACAGCAATGGGGTACTGTCCAAGCTGGAGTCCAAGAAGCATCAGACGAAGTTTGCCAAAGCGAAGGGGCAGAAAAATGCGTCCAAGTGTGGAACTGGGCAGGCATCCGGGGCAGCGACTTCTAGTGCATCCGTCACCGCCACATCCAGCGGAACCTCCAGTGCAGCGACCAACTCGCATTCCTCCTCGACGGGAATCACGAACGACATCATTCAAAACTACCAAACGACGAAGGAGCATAAGGAGTATGTCGACATCCCTTTCACCGAAAGGACTTACAAAGCAGATGTTGTCATCTTGGCCCTGGGATTTTCCAAGACGGATGACTCCGTATGGGAGAATGACTCCATTAAGATCGAGCTTGATAATTATAACTGTATTAAAACCAAAATTAGAACTTACCAGACGAACTACAAGAAGATATTTGCCTGTGGGGACTGTAGAGTCGGCCCCAGTACCGTCGTGCAGGCTATAGCCGACGGCCGAGACGTCGCTGCCAAGATCGACGAATTTCTCATGAATTCGGAATCCATTCTACCCTCTTGCAATACGTACTATTACTACCCCCCCAACTATAAGAGCGCCCCATTTGGGTCCGCCCACTGGGGCTAACTCGAAGGAGGGGGCTACCACCCGGATGTTGGTGAATACTTGAATTAGTGTTACCATTTTGCCATTCATTTCATCCCCCTATTACCTCTTTTTTTACCCCATTTTTCGTTTTTTTTTTTTTCCCCAATTCGCGTCTACTTTTCCCGTGCAAAGTTCCCCAACCTTATCTGTTACGCATGGGAGCGTCACTTCATTTGTATGTTCAAAAGAAAAAAAAAAATGTGGCGCAACAAAGTCAGCCACAGACATAACCCCCCAACTGGGAATTAATTAAAAATATTCGTAAATTTTGCAAAAAGGCTAAATAAAAAAGTCCAGTCAGTGTAAGGATTAAAACGAAACAAACGGCAATGCGTGTGTAACCGATTTGGAGCAAACACGGACAAACATTTGAGGGAGGCTTGGAAGGCCAGGCGAGGTACACACGCGTATTCCTTTGGGGGAAAAGATACAGTCACACGACGTGCATGCGCTTGCGGGGGAGGAGAAAAATGTCTGCGCTAAATCTTCCTCGGCGTGCCTGCTCATATAGATGGAAGGAGCTTCGTGTCGGGTACGTACACCTGTGCAGGAGTCCCGTCAACCAGAGAAGGGCGAAAAAAATAACGCGAACGAGTAAAATCACACAAGCGAGTAAAGTCGCGCGGGTGAACAAAACTGGGGCGGGAAACACCTACGTAGTTCCCCCCTCCGCACGGAAAAAACAAAATTCACAAAACAGAACAAAACAAAACATACATTTTTAGGGTACCATGTGGGGCACAAAAAAGAAGGGCACATCTCATATGGAGGGATTTCTTCAAATCGTTGAATGATCTCTTAAACGCCAGTTTATCTTTTGCTTCCTTCGTAGGGGATGCTCACTTCACCAAGATCCTCTTGACGTCTACCGTCTTACTTAATGACTGGTCTTTATCAATAGAGGTTGTCGTCATTTCCAAACTTCCCTTGGTACTCATGGAGGACAAATCGACATACCCTTCCTTTTTCTTCTTCCTTAAAGAATACATTTTCGAAGTACCCGTTTTATTGTTATCATTTATAAGTTCCGTGATTATATTTTTCATATCCTGTTTTGTCGAACGTCGTATATTTTTCATTCCAAAGGATTCGCTATTCTGTGGCGGAGGCAGCTGACTTGTGTTGGACTCTGAGTAAGCAAACAGATCTTTTCTCTTTTCATTAATTATTCTTTCTTGGTATGCATTTATGTTGCTAATTTCGTTGTTTAATTTTTCTATATATTTTCTCCTTTCCTGTTCGTGTTTTTCTTCCCCAGTGTGGTCACCCCGTTTGTGTTTGCTCGGGACATATGTTTGTTCCACAGTCGCTAGGTTTTCTACTCTGTGGAGAATCCCCGCTTCGTCTTCTCTTGTGCTGTTCATGTCGTAATATATATCCTCGTCATCTCCGGTATCTTTCACAATGCAGCTCTTACTGTGGGATTGTTGGTCAAAGTCCTCATAATTTTCCCCTTTATATTTTTTATGAGAACGAGCTGGGTCAGTGGCGAATGGGGCTCCACCGTATGATGGAAAGTGTCCATCCTCGCCATAAAAAGGTGCGATAGTGCCTGTCTTCATAATTTCTTTGAAAGACATGGAGTGTTCTCCTGGGGAGGAGTCGAAGTTGGGGATAATTTGGACATTGCTAGGTTGCTCCTGTGGGTGTGTGAGGTGAAAAGGCAGTTTTTTTTTTCTCTCTGTCTATCACTCATATGGGAAGGCGTGTCTATATCTTGCACGTCGTAAAGCGCATCAAGGGGACTTGTCACCCACTGCTTAACCACTGCTCAATCACTGCTCAACCACTTCTGAGCCACTTCTTGCACGCACCGCTGTTCCTACCTGTTCTTTTTTTCTCGCCTGGACGTAGTTCTTCCACTCAGCTTCAGTCATCCCAATTTTCTCGGCCACATTTGTGCAAAGGATATCTTCAGGATTCAAAATTTTGTAGTTCCCTATCCACATCTTTGGCTTCATTTTGTTTGGGTAATACACGAAGGTGCCTTGTACGGTGCTCCCATCAACTGGTAAGGGGAAGAAAATGAATGACTCATTTGGGGGCGCGGAAAATAGTGGCATAACGTCCACAGAGTGTTGTCCGCATCATGGAAAGAAAAAGAAAAAAAAAAAAAGAAAAAAAGATAAAAATCGGATCGGTGTCATCTCCACATTGGTAGAATAAACTCAATCTTCGCATACATTTCCACAAACGGGTTTTTTTTTTTTTTTTTTTTTTATAGTCGCTTTGCGAAGGGAGTTGCAATTCGAGACCACTTTGAAAAGAAAAAAACAGAAAAAAAATGATAATAAATTCGCGCCACTATGTTTAGGGGAGTTTCATCCCCTTCTCAATTTGCTTACTCGTTGTGTTGTTGCTTAATGCTTCGTTCATCATTTTCCGTGGGAAGTCTGGATCTTCCACCATCTCAGGGTCTCCCTGAAAAGGTGAACAAGGTGAGCATATATGCATGGGGGCGTCCACAGGTCCACATATTTACGTTCACCAATAGGTATTCACACATGTGTGTATTCGCTTGGGGGGGAATATCACCCAACCATTGCGCATAGACACACGTCTATATGTGAATGTTTTGCGACAGCGCCGGAGCCGCCTACTCCCCTGCGCACCTCATTTATCGTTCGGTACACGCCAATCTTTGTGCTTAGCTCAAGCAGTGTCAATGGCTTCCTGGTTTTTCCACTGGATATGTTCCCCATTTGCAAGCGGAACGCGTCTGTTGTGCCTTTTTCACGTTGAACGGAGTTTCGGGAAGTGCCAATCGGTCTGCGCGGCTTTATGGGTGTTTATACGTATATATACACACGTACATGCACAAGCATATATTTAGAGTGCGTGCTTCCCTTAAGATCAGCTTGGCAGCCGAACAATCACAGTTAGACGCAAACGTTCGCTTGTACCAAGGAGTGTGCTTTTTCCCCCTGATTGGCACAACACGGGCGGTACACCGAAAAGTTAAAAACACTGTACTGGTCCAGTCGTGCCCTTTTTGCTTTTTCACTTAAAAATGTTATTTTTGCTGTTTTGTGAACCTCGCTAAGTTGCTTTTTAATTCTTTTAAAATTTTTTTAAAGGTGTTCAACAGAAAAAAAAAAAAAAGAAACAGAAAAAGAAGAAGAAAAACAAAAAATAGCGTACAACAATGCGGTGTCTAAAACCCTTTTAGCCAATTGAAAGTCCCGTTTTGTTGCCTTTTCGAGGAACTGCTTACAGACTATATAATTTTTCTCCCATTAAAATTGGCTAAATTTGATATGTAAAACTAAGAATATAATTTTTTCTTTTTTGTTTAAGTAGAAATTTGTGTACTACCCTTTTGCAGGTACCAATTTGTAGACATTACTTGTTTTTTTTTTTTTTTTCTTGCAGCTCAAAAGTTTAGGCACAGTAAAACGTGACCTATAAAATTGTAACTTTGTTCTTTGTGCTATAAGGGAGGAAAGAGGGGGGCCTTCCTTAAGCAGATATATCCGCACATCCATGTTTGTTTTCATTTGTGTATACGCCTGCGCAGCGGCGTTGAATTTTTTGACCGCCATCAGCGCCTGTGCGGCATTTTGAGCGAGGTTTAGAGCGTTTTTCTTTTTTTTTTTGGGGATACTCATGTTGAGCGTTATTTTCAAGGGGAGGACGCCCTTTTCCTCCATTTTGACAAATCCCATTTGGACAAAATTTATTTAGCCGCATCCCTATAACTGAACAGACACACACGGCAAATCAGCACGAAGTTTTTTATTTTTTTTGCATTGGTCCCATTTCGTTGCCGTTGGTCAAATTTGCGCAGGGCAGGTAGTGCAGTGCCCCTGATTGTTCCTGTCTATCCCTTCGCTTGTCCGCTCACATAAGTGTGGAAGCATGCCACATGACTGTTTCATTTCCCCCCCTACGTTTAGAACAAACATGTCTACATTTCATGGCACATAAAAAGGAAAAAAATTTTTTAAGGCTAACCAATTGAAAACGGGCACGGGGAATCAGCTAATAATGCCGTGCAGGCTAATGCAAGAATAAATTTCTATGTGCGATTCCTCAAAAGGGGTTAAACCGGGGAGGTCACCTCTCGCGCAGACAGACGTACACATATAACCCTTTTCTATATATGTACATGGGTTGTGCTAAGGATCGGAGTGTGTGTGTGGGGGGATGTCTTGCCTTCCTTCCCGAAACACTGTGCGTTATAAGTGACAAAATTGGCAGAGTGAATTAGGCTGCACAAAGGAACACACTAACAGGAAAGAATAACGTCACAAATATCTTACCCCTTTATTGAAAGAGTGCATTTTTTTTCTTCCGCTTTTATTGCGCATATTTCGTTAGAGAATTCTGTATACTTTTTTAACTTGCCAATTTGTGCCTCTGGTTCGGTTGGCTCTCACCCTTTTTGCTTGCCTCCAGAGGGGAGGGGCCCATTTTTAAGGGGGAAAATGAATCATTGATGGGATTCCACCGGGGATGAGTACCCATAAGGGTGGGCATAGAAATAAACCCGACACATGGGCACACACTTGTGTGAGAGATTCGGTTACTTCAAATGGTCCTACCTTGGTGAAGTGAACGTGGTCAAGCATTTCCTTTTCATTCGGCTCAGGCATTTAAGCGGGATGATGAAAATGACTGCATTTGGCTTTTGTCTTCGCACCGGCATAGGTACTCAAGTTAGACTTCTTACTTTTGCGTTTATGCATCCTCCCCCATGGTACCTTTTTTTTTTGGAACGTAGGGAGACATGCCTTTGAGTGGGAGGACTAATTGGTCACTTGCCGTTTTTTGCGGCCTATTTTTTCATCGCGTGCACGTCCCGTGAGACGCCCCATTGGGGGGGGAAGGCCTCTCCCAATTTTTTTCGCCTCGAGAGAATGGTACATCCATATGCACGGGCATGCGTGTTGTGACATGAGGTCCCCGCCTCGGAGGGAAAAGGAATTCCCGCGAAGTTGCGCAGGCCGTTATGTGAGGCAAGGGTGATATGGGAGGATCCCCGTTTGTAAGCGTTTCGGAGGCAGCTATGAAGGGAAAAAATATCCCGCGAATTTTATCCCCCTAAAGTTACTCCTATAAATTTACCCTGTCGATTCGCCCTGTTGATTTGCCCCCCGATGCTAACCGCTTCTCCCCCCCACACACCATCCCTTACGCACGATGGAGGATGGGAAGAATGCGTTTCTGTTCCACCTATTCTCCTCCGCAGGGAGCGAGAAGGCGGGGGAACAAAAAGCCAAAGTGAGAAATTACAGGTTCATCAAACTGCCAAGCATAAACGAGCCGCACAAATGTGTGTTATACCACTACAGTGAAAAGAGCAACTTGCTGTACCTGCTGGAACGGAATTACTATAATCCGAAAATTGAGTCCATAAAACATGAAAATGACAAAATAAACAAAAGTTGTGTATCCCTTTTTATAAATAACTACGCTGTGCAGAACGAATGCAGCTTTTTCTGCTACCCCATTGATGCAATTTTCGTCTTCATAAGTATCATTTATCAAAACTACGCCTGTAACACGTACACCACACTGGGGGATTACCTAGACAGTGTTTTAAAAGACCGCGAAAGAAGGGAACAGAACGAAATAAGCAAAAATGCATTTTTCATTTTCAACAAAAATGTGAGTAACATC